AGAACATCCGTGTTTGTGAGTGGAATCTTTCTTTTCACTCAGTTTCAGCCATAACTCTTAAGTGTAACATCAGGATCCACTGCTTTTTTTAAGCTAAGTGGTTCATAAAGCACAATTTCTCACTGATTTCATACCTTAGATAATGAGAGTTTTGTAGGGTCAGAGGAGAGGGAAAAAGTGTCATAAAATCTATGCCTGATGGATAGCACTACAGGAGAAATCTGGATCAAAATATTGGTCAGAAAAACAGGAAGAGATGGCAAAGCCCTACCCTGAGAGAAGCCAGCAGGGATTTAACTGCGGGCCTGAGGGGTGCTGGAGTTTTTCGGAGAGGAGTATGGGGCATGCTCATTTTGTGAGACCGAACCTACAGATAGAGCCATCAGCCTAATCTCTAGTATGCTGCAATGTCCAACCAATGCTTTTGGGGCAACTGGCCTGCGTGATTGACACCTGCAGGGACTGGGGATCCTCCAGATTACCTCAAAACGGATATTTATGCTGGCTGGCTGCCATAGGCAAGATGATTGCTTCAAGAGCTACACCTAGGGAGGGCAGGGATATCCTTAGTTCTCTAATTCAAGTTCATTGCAGCTCAGATGGATGCTCCTCATCAAAATTTTCTTCCCTCGCCCAATGGAACCCTGTGAGTTCCTCCACTGCGCTAGGTAATGCAGGGGCAGGAACACTGCTTGCCCTAGGTTGCACACCTCTGCTCTGAAGTGCTAGCTCTTCATGGACCCAGGGCTCAGTCACAGACGTGTTCTGCCACAGGCACCCACTGATGGGGGTGACAGAAGGGAAGGGGATTTTAAAGTGTGGATCTGCACATAGAGAACAATGGAAAAATTAATAGAAAAACATTTTTAAACTATCTAGACCACTATGAATTTAGTCTTCAAACCCAAAATATTATCCAATCTTTTTCTTATAATTATTTTACCAGCTGGTACGATGAAAAAGGTAATAGCACTACAGTTTGCCAGCTACCTCACCCCAAGCACCTCCTGACACTTAGGCTCAAAAAATGTATGGTGGGATTGATATAAACATCAACTTTTCTCAACAATTCTCTGCACATCTCTGTCACCTATTACAGTTTTGTGAGTCAAAGACAGCAGTCAGAAACTCAGCCTATAGGATTGAGAAGGATTAAAAAGGGTGAACCTACAGTACTTTATTGACCTAGGTCCTCACATTAACCTGATCTGATCCTTTAATTACTATGAATAGAATAGGGCTTACAGTTCTACTTAATAACACCCCATGCTTTTTATTCTATAAAGAGCTTTCCTATTCATGTGCCCTCTTCTTTTCAGATTTACAGATTTGTAGCAAGAAGGAATGCATGTTTTTTTTCTGGCACTCCAGGGGAGAAAGCTACCTAATGTGTACGTGTGGGATACTGGAAAGCATAACTGCAACTTTTCTGTTTGAAAAAAGTTATTTGAAAATCAGTCCTCATTCAAGTTATTTGTCAGGAAAAGGTGATAGTAGAAAAGGCAACCAAAACATAAGATATTAATTTTATAAAGGTAGTAGAAGGAACTTAACATAGTTTATATGCTAATCGGAACTGTAATCACATCAGATGCTTACTTTTCCCCCTTGCCATGCACATTCTCCTTCCCCATAGGCTCAGAGAATCAGCACATTACTGTAATCTAGACAGACTGATATATATACATATGATCATATATATGGGTGATATATGATACTATAATTAATAACTGGCATTTTCTCTGAATTCAGGAAAGCAGCTGCAGCTCACTGATAAGATACTTTATGAGAATAAAATCAAAGCTAAACATTAATAATTATAATTTGTTGTGATTGAGAACAGTGAGACTAATTTTATTTCTTGAACTGAACTGAAAGATGAGCTGGACACTGGGTTAAAAATGGCAAGGGGATACAGGTTGTGATTAAGAGCCTAAGACATTGTGCTGAGAGCGTTACACGAAGTAGAAACAGTCTCCCTAATTGTTACATGAACATATTGTACCTACCATTTTGTGCAGATCCACCCTGAGGCCAGGTTGAGGGAACAATCCATATTTGGTTTTCAGTTAAGAATCAGAAAATTTAGGGATTTCTGGGGGAAAAGAAGGGGAAAGAGAAGGAAGAATCTGACCAAAAAAATTGGTTGAGGTGGAAGAGAGAACCCAACTGAAATCTGCTCTTCTTCTTTCAGTCATCACTTTCAGTATGATTTGCCTGAGAATACAATCCTTTGGCTGTTGTAATTATAAAAAGGTTACACTTGCATACTGAATTTGGAAGAGTGCTGTAGATATTTTACCATTTGGAAGTTTTTCTGTTTATTAAGGAACAGCTATTTCAGCACTATTTTAAGGCTAAAACTTGATTAACATGTAGTAATGAAGCTGGTCTAATTTTATTTTACTAAATTTACTGTAAATAACACTGTTAGTAAAATAAATACTGAAAGAATACAGCATCTGACAGCGAAGGCGTATTTAAAGTGTTTTATTATAGTCCCTTAGCTTTCCCAAGACAGGTATTGTTAGGAGCCAGTCTGATTAGTCTATCAGACACCCTGCCTCTTTCTCCCCTACCTTCCTCTCTCTTGAAGATAGAATAGTCTTCACTATGCTTTTAAAGAATGAGGATTTAAATTGAAGCAAACCAGTGCCGAAGCATTCATCTTATTGATATTTTATATAAAAATGATTGTTAAAATTCTAACCCACAGACAGATAGACAGATAGAGACAGACAGAGAGACAGATATATATAATCCCTACTTTAGCATTATAGTCTTTCTCTCTATTGCTACTCTATATGTCTGTAATCTCAAAAGACCATTTATTAGATGTGAAATATTGTATGTTCCTGTAGCCTCCTTTCTTGATTGTGTTCCCAGGGCCTTGTTGGGCAATTGATTACTCTGTGCACAATCCCGCTGCTCTAGGTATTAATGGCAAAACCCCCATTGTCTACAGGATTTAGGCCCTTTATGATTTTTTTTGAAGTTCATTATATTTTGCAAGCAACTGAGTTTAAAATCCCTGATTGGAAAGACTTACTTCTCACATCTTCCTGTGAAATGTTTTACCTTTAGAATGAAAAAGCATTCAGAAACTCTGGAATGGTTTTGATCTGCAGGATTAAAAGAAATCAGCACTGAAAATGGATTCACATCATTTTCTTTTTGGGTACCAGATCCTTGGGGGAGGGGAAGGGGGAGGAGAGAAAAAAAAACCAGCTGATTTAATATAAGTGGGCTGAATTCCCTCTCCTGGTGGGTCTTTCAAACCTCCAGTTTCTGTTCTTGCCATTGCTCTGTGAATATCCCCCTCCCCTTTTTGTTAAAAGCCATTTACTGTGAAAGCCTACAAAAGCAGCTTTCAATCTGATTAAGCTTCTCCTGTAAAAATATACAAAAATAGGGATACATTTGGGTCAGTGTCACCCCACTATTCATCTGTCTCAATTCCCTAGGTTGCTTACTAAGGATACTGCACATGAGCATGGAAGGCTCCTGCAGCCATTAGGGGCTCCCCAAAATTTCATTTATGAAATTCCAAGGTGTAATAATTACCACAGCCCAAGAACAAATTGTCAGAAGGGCCTGAGAAGCTTGACGTAGCTGTGCGCTCACTGCTGGAAGGTACCAGTTTTCCAGCCTTACCTGGAGTGAGCTGTTGATTAATACACATGGAGGTAATGATTGTCTCCTGAAATCCTCGGTGATGTCTCTGTCTGTTCTTCCTTGTGCAGAGGTTCAGTGTCTCATACTCCCAGTTGTGGATCGACTTCCAGAACTTGCTCACTAATTGGCCCTTGGTCAAGGCAAACCTTGCCCCATCTCAGCCTACCAGTAAAATGGGTATAGAATAATTGTTTCCAGTAGGTTTTTGAGGGAGGTTCAGTACCTATAAAAATTGTCTGATGTTGACTTTTCTCAGCATCAGCATCTATATCTCTCTCTTGCCCATTTATAGAAATACATATAATATTTGTCTCCAGCAGATTAATATCTGTGTGAGATGTTTGTGCAGCAATTTACAAAGGTGCTGTGATAACACATGTAAGCATTTAAACTGTATAGTGCTGAAAAATAAGCTTGAACTGGAACTGTGATTTGTTTCTGCTCTTGCAAGAGTTTTATAACTTTTCTTAATAATTTTTGTCTCTAGTACACAGCAATGTTGAAGTGTAATCTTTATTACTAAATGAATGAATGACTGGTGTTGCTTAGGGCACAAACTTAAAAACCATTTTCACACGAAGCCCAAGTATTGTTACTGTTGCAGTTGTCCTGTTGTTTTATTAGCTCTGAACAATGTTGGACTATTCCTGAAATCTAATAATCTCTGTAAAGTGTCTTCCCTCAGTAGCGTCTTTGATAATGGAGAATAGATTCTAAAAACACAATAAAAGCATAAAAGACAATATTATCATAAACGCAAAAAAAAACTAGAAAAAAAAAATCCAAACAAATGAAAAAGAGGCAGACTGCCTAGGAAGAAAAAACAGTATATACTAAATGCTAATTTTTAGTAATTTTGTGTGTATATTTATGATTTAACCTGCTAAGAGCCATGTTAAATACAGCATAGGATTTGGTGGAAATTTCAGTGCCAACAGCACACTCTTTATTTCTGAGGAGAAAAAGAGAGAATTAACCGAAAAATATGATATGTTTTACTCAAGTTATTAGTTGAATTATAAAAAACATATTTTGTGGGTTTTTTCCCTAATGGCCATCAGTTGCCATCATACATATATAAAAGGAAAATGGTAGTTTTAAATATTATAACTGTTCTGTATGTTCCTCATATTAACTAAGAGCCTTATGATCTCTGAAGAGCAGAAATGGCCCCCGAGACAAAAGCGTCTTTCCAGTGTGTGCGCGCGTGCATGCACGCGTGCGTGTCTGCCTATGCATATATAGATATGTGTGTGCACAAGGCAAAGAGCCTCACACGTTTATAACTGGAGAACAAACTCTTACAGTTTTCATTTCATTTTTAGAAGCAGAAAAGATGAGCACTAGCCTCAGAATGTCAGGATGTTACAGCTCTTTTGCTATGTAAGTGGAAGATATATTTTTTTAATTATAATCTCTTATACCAGTGACTTTTACATGAGGCAACATTCAGATGTTTTATGTTTCACATTTATTTCAACAATCATTGTCTCTCCCAAAATATTTTCCCTGAAACCTTATGTACAGGTAATAAAATCCTTGTACTGGAGCAGGTTCATCTGATAATAGCAATACAAGGTTGTCTGATTATGCCAAAAGGATACTGGATAAAGGAGATTTTATTAACTGACTTTGAATGAAATCCATAACATCTATGATCTTTCTCCTTTCCAAATGAACCGAAAGCTTCATTAGAGATCAGAAACCTTTTTTTAAAGGATACATGCTAGAGTATAAAATACATTTAAATTGAAGGTAAGGAACAAATTATAACCATTAAATTTCCTTGCCAGAAATTCTACTCTCTGCTCTGCCTCCTGCCACTCCTCAGTGTTAGGATCTTGATGCAGCATCTACATGCTAACACTTCAGGCAATTCCCTCCCCTATTTTAAGTAGTTTGAGAGGTAACCTCAGTTCACAGAACATCCTAAAAGAAAGGTTTAGTGATGCTGGATGCCATACTTACCTTTTCTTCTTGTGTCTTTGTAAAGGTCAGTAGTACCTAGGTTCTACCATCCATATTAGGTTTCGAAGCACTACTCTTACTGGTGCTTCTGATGTGCATCTCACCTTAGGAAAATACTTTTTCGAGGAGGAATTTTGCCTGGCATGTTTCTGTGCAGGAACAAAAAGATGAGTGTTGTTAACTATGTTCCTGTAGAAACAAAGTTTTTCATCCCTCTGTTTGCAAAGGCAGTTACCCAGTAGGCCTGGCAGTAACTTTTCTCCGTCTTTGGCTGTCTGCAGGATGACATGTCAGCACGAGCTGGGAGCAGAGAGTTGTATGCAGTCCTTTGCTTGCCAAAAGCTTGCTTTTTGTAGGAGCATTTTGCCTGACTCTTTCTGGTTTTGCAGGGAAAACCTCAGTAGAAAGAAGGCGCACACTGGGGAGTGTCAATCTTTCTTCCTTTGGCTCTGTCACAGTCCTATTTCTCCCCCTTGGAAGGGAATCCAGCTTCCCATTTAGAACTTTCACAGGACTTCTCTGTGCCCAGACTGAGGGGGAACTTCAGGTATTTCAGGGAATATTTCCTTCCTGAAATAGGAAGAGGCACTTCGCTCTGAGCTATTTGCCATTGCGCACAGCAGATTTTCCAAGCAATGTTGCTTGTGGTTCTCAGGCTAATTTTCACCAAATATTTTTAGCAATTCAGTAAATTTCTATTTCAAAAGATTTTATTTGAAAAGATGAGAGTAATTGATTGTTATCTTGCTTAAAAACAAGCCCAAAAATCCTTATTACCACTGCAGCAATTTTAATACAAATATTTTGGTTAAAGCAGTCAAACACCTAATATTCTGCACTTTAGCAAACAACAGACTTCTCCCATAAAACACTATATAAATCTCCAGCATTAAAAAAAAAAGCACCAATAATTTAGGGGAATCCATATTTAAAAACAAACAAACAAATGCAAACACCTAAACTTTGGTTTCAGTCTGTGGTGACTAAAAATAAGGCCACTGTGGGGAAAGTGTCTTGAACGATTTAGTGAAAATGATTGTGTTTGGTCTGGAACAGAAAACTTTGAAAACTGCTTTATTTTAAACATTACAGTTATTTAAATAACAAATAGCTATCTTATAATTGGCAAAAAATGAGATTGGAAGAAGAATTTTGCAAACCTGACATTTTAAATTTGGGACAATCCATTTCACATGATTTCTGACCTTACTTAAATACTGATTTCTCAACAAATTCAACAAAATGCTGGATTTTGCAAATGACATGCAATAAAATATGAATTCTGAGTGCCTGCTGCAAAGGTAATTTATTTTAGTGAACTGGATTATTTTGATAAAAATAAGCTATTTTCAGCAGGGAAATAGTTGTTGTTTGTTGCTCGAAAAATGTATTTACTTTAAGAAAACTTATTTTCTGTTACATAATGCAATTCCTTCAATTTTGAGTCTTTCTACGCTGCCTTGCAAATATTTTGCTCGCTTCTGTTAGATTTAGCACAGCCACACAAAGTTGCAGCCTTATATATTTCCCTTAAACTAATTTCTAGGGCCTTATTCTATAGCTCCTGAATACGCTTTTAGCAATAAATTAAGAGCTTCTGAAATAGACATTATTAAAAAAACCCAAAATGACAATATGGTAAGAGAAGTCATAAACCACTCCATCTGCCTAAATTTCTTTAGATACCACTGAGTCCCTGCTATAAATGGAAACAGTAGTGGCCACGCTTGCTTTTACCAGACAAATATTGTTTGGACACTCAGGAGCTAAGTTTGTCTTTAAAGCTGCAGAATTGCCCTATTTGGAGACCAGACTGTAGTCATCGAAGGGTTAAAGCCAGTTTTGAATTTAAGTTAATCCATATGCTAATCTATTTTAAATATCCCTGCATAACTACCATCATATTTTTAGCAGCACAGTTTGTTGTTCCAATTGCCAGCTATTTTTAATGATACAACAAAATAGGACAGAATTTAGTTTTAAGGTTTATTTTGGCCTCTAACATTAAAAAGGGCAAAATCCCCCCTTGTTCAAGGATATTTTTGATTTGAATGGTCTATACCTGCCCTCTGCAATCAGCCAATTATTGTAAGCAGTGTGATGGGCCCAAGGTATTAGTGCTGAGAATGTACCTGCTGTCCCTTGGGTTAGGGGTTGTTTTGCAATGATCACCTGTCCTGATTTGAAGATTGCATGACAGGACACTATTAAAGTAAGGGCAAGGAATTCAATTTCCCCATGTCATTTTCCCTGGCCTGGTTTTGAAAATAGGTCACTGTATTCTATTTGGATTTGTATATTATAACATCACCCACTAACATTTTTGTAGTGAAGGGTCTAGTCATATTTTCATTATAAATCCCTATTTTCAGAGGTTTATATACTGTAACTTGATCACAGAAAGAAGTTTCAGTCTAAATGGTGGCATGCAAGATGTCTTCTAAGGAACATGGGTTTTACCCTGCAAATCACAACAGATATGTGTTCTGCCATTTCTGCCAGAGTGAAAAATGAAAATATCTTTTTAGCTGCAATTTGATATTGCTAGTAGATTCCCTTAGAAAAAGATACCCTGCTATGTTTATCTTTTAATTAAAATGATATCCAAAAGAGCTGGGTTTCTCACGCAAGTCTTAACAAGAATCTGAGTAAGTATAGGTTATAAAATTGGTGACTTGGCATGTATATTTTAATTATGCAAATCCACAGTAATAAATGCCCTTATATAATGGAAGGATTTAATAGGGTCAAAAACTGGTTGTTTGAAAAGGTTGGTAAATAAATCATATGGATCTGAATGTCGAGTTTATGTTTATCTCCTCGTTTAAACTGCTTTTTCACATAACGTGGAATTGTTTCTGAGGGAGCCAGCATCACTCTGTGGCCTAATATTTTAAATTGTGAGTAGATTCTAGCTTACACAACTGAATCAGCACAGCTGTGCAAATGTGTGTATTTAACACTGATTAAATGCTTCCACCTATACTTTAAAAAATCCAAAGAGAAGTCCCTTACTACCATACTGTAGGTTTTTGCAGAATAGCTGTGGAATAGCATTTCATCACCTGCCATACACTTCTTAATGTATTTTATTTTTTTTTTTTAATAAGATCAGGAGCAGCCAGCCAGCCAGCCACCAAGCAAAATGAAACTTCTTCCAAGACAAAGATAATAAAATATGTTTGAGCAACATGAAACGATAGTCTGAAGACTGCCGATGCAAGGAAATTCAGGGTTAATGCTGCGTTACTTCATTTTGAAGTCAACCCCATTGTGTCTGTTTATTGCAGGGGTCTTCAAACAGAGAGATCTCACAAGATGTGTCGAGGATGCTATAGCAGCCAGTAGGCTGAGCCCAGAGCCAGACTTTCAGGTGGTTGAATGTAAAACTTCCAAATATTTTTTGGAGGGGAGGGGCATCAGGGAGGGAAGAGGAGGAGGATGGTCCCAGCTAGCATCACTGGTGGTGGCTGTGCTGTGGGGTTCAAGGCAACACAAAAGAAAAAGGCACTCTATTACCCAGGGCCCTGCCTCATTTTGCCTAGATATCAAGATTCTTAGAGGTATTATTTTTACCTAGTCCTCGAAATACCCACTGATAAACCAAAATCTGCCATCCCTTGCAAAGCCAACAGTTTGCTCCTTAAATGGGTTTAGTCTTCATTTTAATGGAAGTGAAACATAGTCGACGGAGGCAAATTAAAACCATATAATTTTGTAATCTTAGTTTAGCTATAATTGCGGCAATAAAACAGTGGAAAGAATAATTGGGGAACATATGTTTGTGAGTGACATTATCTAGGTGACTTCCCTTTTACGGCACTGCGCTGCTGTCCTATTTGTCTCCCCCTCCCTATGCATTGGAATGACAAACCTGCGAGCCCAGAGTTAATGCTGATTGCGGCAGCTGCTTACACACCGAGTCTCCATGGCAACCGGGGACGTTGCCACGCAACCGTATTCTTTTAGGGACAGGGAAAATGCCCAAAGGCTTACTAAAAATACATGGAAGAGAGAGAAAAAAAAATCTTAAATTTTCTTACTACTGTTNTGCGCTTGTGCTTGAAAGCAGAGGTCAGACAAATAAAAACCCAGCCCTGACCTTTCCAAAATTGCCTGCCGTTGCTTGAAATCTCCACCTTTATTGACAAAGATGACTTTTGATCGATTGTAAAATTGGTAGCTAACACGCGGCAGCCCTCTCAGCCTGCAAGATACAGCGCCTGCCCATTGCTATTCTGGAGGGGTGGAAGGTCAGCTGAGAGCCATCAATGCCGTATTGATCAGCCGAGCTGAAAAATGCCCATGTTTCCAGCTCCTCGCACAGTGGGGCTGCGGCCCCAGCCTCCAGTGCACTGTCGCCCTGGCACGCCACCGAGCAAGCCGTCCTCCCAGCAAAAGTGACATCACTTCACTCAGCTCAGCTGTTTCTGCAGTTTTCTATAAATAGCTAGATAAAAAATTGAAGGCTGCTTTTGGAGAATTTAGGCAGCCAATCTTATCATCGTCAGCAGACGAGACAGGCTGATTTTTTTTTCCCCCTACTAGTATTGCACTGCAAATTCTTCGTCCTGATTTCTGGAGCTTGACATAGAATAACCAAAAATTTTGAATGGTATACATGTCTGCATTCAGGATTGTGCTGGAATGGAGACTTAATTCATCATTCATCACCCCTCTAGCTGTTAAAATGTAATCAGATAGGAGTGAGGGATGGAGGGAAGAGAAAGGGTCGGCGCTGCCATACAAGATGTGCAGACCCGGCATTATGCTGATGCGGCATGTTTGCTGAGCTCTGTATCACTCTTACTTGCAGAAATCCCCACTTGTCAGGTTCCCAGGTGCCTCCCCTGAATTAAACAAACCATGAACTGGAGTCAGAGTTATACCAGGGCTCCTGTTGGCTGTAATAGTCGACACAAAGAATTAGAAGGAAGCAATCAGAAATGCAAACAAAAGCACTGTTAATAAGCGCACTTCCTATTTTTCCTTGATTCCGGTTTTGCTACTCTATTTCTTAATTAACCCTCTGAGATAGCTGATGAAAGAAAAACATCATCTTCCTGGTCTGTAAATAACCTCTTTCTTGATAGTATTTATTTCTGGGAACAGGAGCATTAAAAAGCTGCAAAATACAAAACGAAGTATGGAAACTGTCTCAATAAAAATGGGCATTCTGCAAGTTTTATGAAGTTTTGGATCTTATGGCAGTTCTTTTGGAAAAGGAAAGGAAAATAAACTTGTAAACATGAATAACAGCAGGTGCAGGTGAAGAAAAGCATGTCTTCTGTAGACTCCATCTGTAGGTAGCCATCATGGTGTTGTGTACCATGCCTTTGCCATCCCTGGGTTGCATTCCCAGTAGGAAACAAGTGGATGCCAGGGAAGCTCACAAGCCTTGTTCAGCTCTTCAGCATTCCTGAGCACAAGCCTCCATTCAGCATCACACAGGATCAAACCACAACCGTCCCCATCCTTGTTGATTTGAACAGGGAGTTGAAACTGCTTGGCAACAGAAAAGATGAAAGTACTTGTTTTTCAGAAAAGTTAATGGCACTAGAAATAGAAACCAGACAGTTCTTTGAAGGTGGGGAAGAGGGGACCAGCAGGTTTTCTCTCCCTACTGCTGTGCTGATTGCGCCGTGGTGAGTATTGCAAAGTCAAACACTATGGCATGTGTAGCATGAGGTATTAGAGCAGAGGACTACAGTAACTCATGCCAGCCTCAAAATATGCATCTGTCCCTTAGCACTGAAAGTGCAAATGAATTGCAAAATATATGTACAATTACTGATGTATGGGACTTTAAAATGCATTTGTTCTCTATGGAAACTGATCTATAAATGATCCTGAATGTAAAATTCAGACTCTGGTCTAGGGATGGAGATCAGTGAGGGTTGTATTCTTAAATATCTTTTGAGTATTTGGGTGCACATGATCCAAACCCAAGCCACATCTGTTTATTGAAATGTTTCTGCTAGGGTTAATGGCCATAAACTAAATAACAAGAAGTTTCACCTCAACATGAGGAAAAACTTTACATTGCGAGTAGCAGAGCACTGGAACAGGCTGCCCATGGAGGTCATGGAGTCTTGCTCTCTGGAGACATTCAAACTCCACCTGGATGTCATACGTTGCACTACGTGACCCTGCCTTGGCAAGGGGGTTGGACTAGATGATCTCCAGAGATCCTTTCTAACCATAACAATTATGTGATTCTGTGATTCTGTAACGTTTAGTCATTTCAAATGGTCAATACTGATGCTCTGACTTGGGAGTCCAGAGGAAGAAGGAAAACGGTAGAATGAGAGAAGTCCAATATCTCTTCTCTGTAGAGTGGACAAAGTAGTATTCAACCCATTCATTGAGTGGAATGCAAATAAAATAGGCTAGAACTTGTTGCACATCATTTGTTGCAGAGAAAACTAGTGGTTGAAAGATGGACTTTAATTTTGCCCAGATACTTGTTAAAAATTTATCTAGCTTCTAGAAGAACTACTAGAGAAGTACTCTCTTAGGAAAAAAACCCCAACCCCAAAACCAGCAACAGTTAAAATTATTTACTGGGATTGTATTTAAAGATCTGAACTCTGTTTTAAAATCAATTTATTTTTGCATATAAATGGATGTTGAAGTCTTGCTGATTTTTTCAGCAATATATTTATTTTTCAATAAGATCCACCTTTCCTCCTTATGATTAAATCCTGCAAGACATTTTAAATAGCACTTTTCTATAAATGTACTTCTTCCACTTTGAAATAAAGCACACATAACTGCGATTTTTGGTGTTGAATCAAGTTAGCGGTCTTCTTAGTTAAAAAATCTCCTGTTTGATAAAGGCAGAATAGAGAGGCCTGAAAAGAAAGACCTTCCTACATTTCTAAGCCCAGTATCATTTTGTCTTATTAGTCAATAGAGCTGGTATGTATTGAATACTGAAAAGCTGGACAACTGATTTTATTATCTGTGCCCGGTCTCAAGCCAACCCCCTTCTGGGGACAACGGTCTTGACTCTGCATTCTGTGACCTTTTCAAAATCTCATAATGAAAATATGAGTGGATTAGCCAAATTTGTGAATCACAGTCCTGCTCACTAAGTCAATAAGGCTTGCTTTCTAATTTCAATGGAAGCAGGAGCAAAACCAATGTCAGTGTGCTCCATCAAAACTCCACTTGACTTCAGGTCAGGATAAAATTAATTTCCATCATCTTTATTGTCCTTTTATGTCTTTTTATGGACAGACAAACAAGAAACTTTACGTTTTCTGAATCCTTTCCCAAGAAAGGTTGGGTGAGTCTACCACTTTTATTTCTGAGCACACGAACATCATCTGTATAGAACCTCCTCTCAGTTCACTGTTGGTAGGAGTAAAAAATAACTTATAGTGTTGGTGAACATTGGCTAAGTGTTTGCTGGTATCACCGAATATGATATTTGTCTGTGGAAGAGCGGAGGAGTGCCCCAGGGAACAATTCACCGGACAACCTGAACTCGTGTGCAAGAGCCTTGAAAACACTTCTGGGCCCTGTCTTTTCCCTCTCCCTCCCTGTCAGCGTAGGTAAAGCAGTAGCCATGTAAAGAAAATGTTCAAGAAACTGTGTCCTAAAACACTGTATGACACTATCTGGAAGGAGAAGGGGATTCCTTCTGTTGTCTGTAGTCTTGTCCTCGACTTTATTCTTTAAGGATTTTTTTTTTTCCTGTGGTTTTCTCTTGCCACACAATTGACCAGACCTTGAAGATTTCTTCAACATTAGAGGCTGGCTGAATAGAAACAGAGTGTACACACAGGGACATCAGCAAACACAATGCTTTATTACAGGACTATTTACTAGTGGAACTATAGACAGATTAGCCACATTATTATTATATATCTGTTTAGCATCTTACAAATAAAAAAACCAATAGTCTGTCCAAGGCTGGTTTTTTTTGTTGTTGTTGTTTTCTGAATGAGTTGAAGTCTTTCACAAAAAATCCTTCTTTAACAGTTATATGTTTGTGTCAAAGTATCTCAGGGCACAAAGCCCAGCCGAAAGCCAACTTAAAAAAAAATAATCTTTGTAAGCGCTTTCATGACAGCGAACCATTAAATCTCCTGAGTAATGTAGGGAAGAGCTGGATCATGCATAGATTGCTCTTTACCCAGGATGCACTGTTGCCTGCAAGACTCTGAATAAAGAGACACAC